AAATGCCAGGGACCTTGGCATGTAGTTAGTTGAAAAGAAATTCCAACTTGAGTTGAATGGATATTGGACTAGTTAATTTTACTGGGAGTGAAAATGAATGATGGCCTTAAAGCCTTTTTTGAAACTTTGGATTTAGTATTGCTAGAATTAGTTATTTGACAAGATAAGTACTTAACAAATTTGGTATCTCTGACAACCTTTGATAATTCTGATAATTGTGCTACCTTTTAAAGACTAAGTGATGGATTCAAGGATGTATTTTAAGAGTTTTAAAAATTGAGGTAAAATTCACAGTGAAATGCACAGACCTTAAATTGAGTAAGTTTTGATAAATGCATAATCCGTGTAACACTCCAACCAGTAGAATTTATCTGTCATTCCCAAAAGTTCCCGGGTGCCTCTTTCCAATCACCTGCTCCCCGAGGCCACCAGTATGCTGTGATTTCTATTACCATATTAGTTTTGTCTGTTAAAGAAAACCAAATGGTAAACGGTGTTGCACATCATAGTGTACTCAAAAACAACCATAACTGTTGAACAAGGTGGAAGTCTATTCTCTTAAGATCTTAACCTGCAAATCAGAGTTTTTAAAATGTGAATTTAAAATTAATTAAATAACCAACCCTGGCTCCTGAGAAAGAAAAACAAATTCACCTTACCTGAACTGTTTTCTTTTAAAACTCTTCCATAACATTTGAGAAACCAAGTATTTTGGGAAACCATGTTTACAACCCACCAGTTAGTCACTTCAATGGCTTACTTTGTGCTCCCCCAGAAGAAAACGACCCGGGAGAGAAGTGATTAAATTTGAAGTCAGGAGACTGCTGGCTCGCCCTTAAAGCCCGGGTCCCACCTGCGGGCTAAGGGTGTGTGTGCATTGGCGGGGTCTGGGCCCCCTCCTGCTGGCCCCGGCGGTCCGCGCGCGTTTCCTGGGGGGTTTCCTGTTCCCAGCGGGGCGCAGGCAGGAAAGGATGCGCCGCCCTGGACACGGGGCGGGCCTCGCCGGCTCGCGCAGGCCCCCGCCCTCCGAGTGCCGCCCACCCCGCGCTGTCGGAGGCGGGTCCGGGTGGGGCTGCGGTCGGCGAGCCGCCGGGCCAGGGCGCGCAGTCTCGGGGCGCAGGATGCTTCGCGCACTACCTCGAGGGCCCTGAGGCTTCTGGCCCGCGCTCTCCTCGCCACCACGCGCCGCTGCTCCCGCCAGTCCCGAGAGGTAAGAGCCTTCCGCGCGCCCCGGCAGGCGCTCCTGTGCCGCGGAGACTTCCCCGACCCTGTCGCCTCCAATCTCCCCGCAGCCCGAAAGCACAGGTAGGCAGACGGTGCCAGTCCCTCGACGCACCCAGTCGCCTTCCCTCACTACTTGGTGTTCAGCCTCCGCCCCCGGGCGGCAGGCTCTACATGTGTGCGCCCCGGCGCTCCCCAGGCTCAGGTATTGCTGAGGGTCGGAAGCTGACTGTAGACTGTAAATCCGAATAGTTGAGACCCTTGAAGAATACGTCTTAGGTTACTGAGCGTTTGGAACAAGTTAGCTCTTTTCCCCTAAAAAAATCCTTTTTGGGATATAAGCCTTTCAAAACGGTCCTCATTTTAAGAGAGCTTTCTCTGACGACACAGGCAGGGCTAGATTTGCAAGCATGAACTTGACTTGCGAGCCTTTGGAAAGCTGGGTGGATGTAGGGAGCACACCGCTTCCCAGGGAAGCTGCATGCAAAGGGTGGGAGGGTGGGACCAGGGCAGAGCCACTGGACTGCATATGTAAATAAAGCCAGTTTACACGAGCTGCTTTGGAATTAGGGATTTCCTCCTAATAAATATTATTATTAGATGTATGCAAACACAAACATGTGCAGGTTTATCAGAGGGACAAAATAACTTTGCTTTTTCTTTTCCCCTTTATGTATTTATTTATTTATATATCTTTATGAATTTCAGAGAGGAAGGGAGAGGGAGAGAGAGATAGAAATATCAGTGATGAGAGTGAATCATTGATTGATTGCCTCCTGCACTTCCCCTGCTGAGGATCGAGCCCACAACCCTGGCATGTGCCCTTGACCGGAATCTAACCCGACCCTTCAGTCCTTAGCCTACGCTCTGTCCACTGAACCAAACCAGGCAGCGGTTCTCAACCTGTGGGTCGCGATCCCTTTGGCGGTCGAAGGACCCTTTCACAGGGGTCGCCTAAGACCATCCTGCATATCAGATATTTACATTATGATTCATAACAGTAGCAACATTACAGTTATGAAGTAGCAACGAAAATAATTTTATGGTTGGGTCACAACATGAGGAACTGTATTTAAAGGGCCAGAAGGTTGAGAACCACTGAGCTAGGGGGTCTTTTCCCTTTTATTTTTAATAAGCCATTGGTCTCCTCTCCTTTAGCATAATTCATTGTCTTTTTCTGCGATTACGAAGACACTGTGGGGATTATCTTAGCTGGTTTCACCAAAAACATGAAATCTGAGCTTGGTGTGATACCATTAGCCATTGAGAATATTCACAACTTCTACCTACCCTGTAGCTGATACATTTAGAATTTGTCTGTGAATGCTATATAGAAGTATTTTAAAATGTGTATAAAGTATACTTAAGTTCTTATTTTCTCAAAATGATTCTCAAGTCAAACATTGTAAGTAGCAAGTACTGTATTGGGAACAACATGTTGGGATAAATTGAGCAAGCAAGTTATTAAAAAAAAAGCATGCTATCATTTTTTTTAATGTAGTGCTTTTTCCCCCAGCAATTAATTCTGTTTTGGGATGCTCTGTTAAAGTATTCAGATTAGTGGTTGAGCTAGTAAAATTTCAGCATTTATTTTCAGAATCTTGAGAATACAAAAAAATAAATCTGTATTATGATTTCAGGTAGGATGGTTTATTTTTTAATTCCATTTCTATTCAGTTCTAAATATAGATTATTACACTATTCTAGGTTTTACTGGTCATTTTCTTAAGGAGCAAAATGTGTTATAGTCACAAAATCAGTTGTAATTAGAAGCTTCTTTAAAAAAATAGTTATAACGGGGAAGCAAGCAATTTGGGAAAAGCCATTCAACTTTTGGGAGCTATGGATGCTTGTTTCTCCTGACTTTGGTTACTAAGTATTGCTGACTTAAAGGAAGCTTTGTAATTGCCCCAAATCCTATGCTTGCTGGGGAGATACATGATGTTCACTTGCTGTCTTTGCCCAAGTTTCCCAGTCCATGTTCAAAAAAAGGATTAAGGTCAAATCTGTGCCTGATTCCAGCAAAATTGAATTTTTTGTTTTGTTTTGTTTTGTTGGTGGGGTGGAGGGAGTCCTAATCATCTGCATAATTATGCTTTAAATCTCTGCTTTCCTTTAAGGAAGTACAGCACCTATTTCCTTTGTTCAACCAACTCCCACTAAAAGAAAGCTAATAGACACATATCAGTTCTCTTTCTATTGAATTTTTTATTATTCCAATCATTCCCTTTAAGTCCATTATTTTTCTATCTTATTTGAATGGATATAGCATACTTATATTTGGAATAAAATATATTTATTAAAGTTATTAACTGGATAATGGGAATATGGACATTAAGTAAATATATATTTGGATTATGAGACATTAAGTAAAATATATATTTGAGTTTATGTTTAGTAGCCCCTTTTTTACTTAGATTCCTAGTATGAAAACCCAAAAGGCCCCCTTTAATTGCCCCCCTAATACTGTGGTCTAAACCAGTTGGTTTATAATTAAAGGTAGAGTGCCCCCCTTCCCCACCAAAATCCATTCTAGAAAGCAACAGGCCCAAACAAGGGTCTTCCCTGCTCTTCCTAAGGTGGTCCTGGGGAAAGTATGCCTGCAATGGAAAATCATCCTGTTCTCTTGGATTGTTTTACCAGCCCGCAAAAAAGTTTTTGGAAGAGACTGGACAGAAGGAAGGATAAATGGTTAATTCCCCGGTTTTCCCCTTTAAAAGACGAGGGGTTCCCCAACCTTGGCCCACATAGAAATCCCCTGGGAATTCTTTTAAAATCCTGATTTCTGGCCCACTCTCCGGAAATTCTGTTTCTTTGTTACTAATGTTGTGGCCCCACCCCATAACAAAGAAACAGAATTTCCGGAGGATGAGGCCCAGAAATCAGGATTTTAAAAAGATTCCCAGGTGATTCTAATGTGCAGCCAGGGTTGAGAACCACTGCTTTAGAGTAATCTAAATAAGGGAAGTCAGAGCCACATGAAGTTCACATTTAATTGACTACTCTGGGTATCTTTTTTAAAGATTTGATGGTTTTGGTATAGTTCCTAGGCATTAAGAAATGAAGCAATTCAGATAACACACCGATTGTGCAAGGAAGATAGTATGCCCGTTTGTGGAAGCAAGGTAGGACTTTTCTACATAGCATAATGCTAAAAGAAAGTTTGACAAACATTTAATAAATTTACTAAAGTTTAGTAAATCAGTGTGAAATACCAAAGCAGATAAATATGTGAAGATGTATTATCAAGACTGGCGCCCTTGCTGGTTTAGCTCAGTTGACAGAGCTTTGGTCTGCAGACTGAAGGGTCCCGGGTTCGATTCTGGTCAAGAGCATGTTCCTTGGTTGTAGGCTTGGTCACGTGTGGGAGGCAACCAATCAATGTGTCTCTCTCACATTGATATTTCTCTCTCTCTGTCTCCCTCTCCCTTCCACTTTGTCTAAAAATCAATGGGAAAAATACCTTTGGGTGAGGATTAACAACAAAAAAGATTGGCTATTAGTTTTGATGAAGTTAAGAAAATAATAATAAATTCTCCACTGAAAGATGTGCTACAAAGGTAATCTTGGTGTTGAGCACCCTGAATATTCTTAACAGGTGATCTATAATGGAAGAAAGGGGAAGTGTATAATTACAGATCATTTCCCCAGTGAAAAGGAGTGTCCTTTGTATGCTCTTTTCAGTACTACCTAGGGAGTTTGATTTCTTAGAATGGTTTTTGTAATTTCATGATTACTATTTTAAGAATATCATCATTTTTCTGAGGTTCTAATTTCAGGTGTTTTTGAAAAAAAAAATTCACAGTTTAGATGTGAGAAAGGACATGAGGAGACCAAAGACCTGGGATTTTGCTGATCAGAATGAAACAAATGTTGAAAGACTTTTCAAATCTATTGTTGGTGGTGCTCTGTGACTGTGGTGAGTATTGTGAGTGTACTTAACGCTATTGGAACCAATGAAGAAACATCATTGACAAGTTTATAAATGCATTGATGTTGATGACCTGCATGAGGAGGCAAGGCAGGGTTTACAATGCAGTACCTTTCAAACTGTGATCCTTGTAACCCTGGGTTCTGTTAAGGTTCTGAATTATGGATTCAAATTTCACTTTAAATATATTTTTAAATCTTAAAAAGATAATAAAAACAACTCACTTTCAATTTAATAAATTGGAGACAAGCCTGTTACATGATGTTTTATACATTGGGGTTTGATGTAAGATTGCACTTGACAAGAGAGTTTTGCTGCTATATTATCATTGGAACCAATTTGAATTTTCAGTCTTTGCCAATTGTATACCTTAGATAAGTTTTTTAAAAAAATATGTTTTTATTGATTACAGAGAGGAAGAGAGAAGGGGAGACAGATAGAAACACCAATGATGAGAGAGAATCATGGATTGGCTGCCTCCTGCACGCCCCCTACTGGGGATCGAGCTCTGGGCATGTGCCCTTGACCGGAATTGAACCCGGGATCCTTTAGTCTGCAAGCTGACGCTCTATCCACTGAGCCAAACTGGCTAGGGCTTTAGATAAATTTTTAAATTCCTTTCAACCTTAGTAATAATATTGACTTCACAGGGTTGTCGCTATGGTAAAATAGTCAAGAATTGGAAACACCTTGAATGGTTGAGCATACAGTGGTATTTAATGTTAGTTTCTTCATTCAGTTCAATTAAATATTGAGTTCATTTCTCAGACATGCCACCTACTGACATAGAGTCAATAATGCTCGTTTGATGATTTCCAAATATTTCATAAACATCTAAGCAGTTGATGGTATGAGAGTAGAAGTTGTTTCTATTTTGATGAAAAAATTATGATCCAAGAGAAGGAGAATCCTGGCTCGGGTAATATCGATGGCACAGCCGGTTAAATGGACTAGAGTTCATACTGGTCATTTTGTCCAGTGAATCTTCTCAGTAATTTTTTTTAAGAAGTTTAATTAAACAAGTTTTTCTAGAATGCCAATCTGGGATTCATTTCTTTTAAAGTCATTTATCCCTACTTAAAAACAGATTGCTGTGTATGTAACAGCCTCATACAATAATTTATACGTGTCCTTGTTTTCATAGTGATAAAGACATAAAATCTTCCATTTATTTTTTTTAATTTTTTAAAAATTTCTTTATTGATTAAGTTATTGCATATGTGTCCTTCCTCCCCATCCCCCCCCCCACTAAAATCTTCCATTTAAATAAAGTCTGCAAGGATATTTGTCATTGTCTTTTTAATTTATTATTGATTGATTTTTAAGAGAGAGAGTGAGAGAGATTTGTTCCACTTATTTATGCATTCATTGGTGGATTCTTGTATGATTCCCTGAGTGGGAATCGAACTACCAACTTTTGCGTATCGGAATGATTCTCTACCCAGCCAGGACCATGGATGGATGTTTATCATTGTTGAGCACAAAATATCTTACTGGAATATAAAAATAAAAATTGAATGAGCATAAAATAGAGCATACAGCATAGAAGCTGAGTGCATAGTCTACTAATGGAAGAACAGGTATATTTATAGGTCTAGGTTTTTATTTCCCCTTCTCTATTTGATGTTGATCAAAATATACCATTACCAATAAGATGGTTTTTGTTTTTTTTTTAATCCTCACCTGAGGATATTTTTTCCATTGATTTTTAGAGAGAGTGGAAGGGAGGGAAAAGACACACAGAGAGAAACATTGATGTGAGAGAGAGATGCCAGGAATCGAGTCTGCAACCGAAGAACGTGCCCTTGACCAGAACCAAACCCATGACCCTTTAGTCTGCTCTATCCACTGAGCCAAACCAGCCAGGGTTAGGTTGTTTTTATTAAGCAACATGTTTATATTGAGGCAACAGTCCTTTAAATACAATAAAGGAATGGGGAGAGAAGAAATGAAATTATAGAGAAAGCTATACTGTAGTAGTCAGTATGGCATGCAATCAAATTGCAGTTTTCTAAATGAAATGATATTCTTGTCTGAAAAAACAAGAGTTGTAAAGTAGTAAGCTCTCTTTTTAGTACACTATGCTGGAACCCATTGTATCTTTTTTCTCCATTTCCAACTGGGCATGTATGTCTCTTTCATTGATTGGTTGCCCATCAAATCAGAATTTGATCCTCCTCATTGACAGTCCCTGGCATTGACAATAGGCTTTCATTAGTTAACTAAGTGGTGTATGCCTCTTTTTTTTTTTTATTGTTTAAAGTATTACATATGTCTTGTTTTTCCCCGATTGACACCCTCCTCCACTTTGCCCTCCCCCAGGACAAGCCCCCACTGCCCAGTGTCCGTTGGTTATGCTAATATGCATGCATAAAAGTCCTTTGGTTGATTTCTTACCCTTCCCCCCCCCACACTTTCTCTCTGAGGTTGGACTGTCTGTTCAGTGTTTCTTAGTTTCTGGGTCTATTTTTGTTCATCAGTTTATGTTGTTCATTATATCCCACATATGAGTGAGATCATGTGATATTTATCTTTCTCCGACTGGCTTATTTCACTTAGCATAATGCTCTCCAGGTCCATCCATGTTGTTAGAATGGTAAAAGTTCCTTCTTTTTTATAGCAGCGTAGTATCCCATTACATAGATGTACCACAGTTTTTTAATCCACTCATCAGCTGATGGGCACTTAGGCTATTTCCAAATCTTAGCTATTGTAAATTGTGCTGCTATGAACATAGAGGTGCATAAGTCCTTTCTGATTGGTGTTTCTGGTTTCTTGGGATATATTCCCAGATGTGGGATTACTGGGTTGAATGGGAGTTCAATATTTAATTGTTTGAGGAATCTCCATACTGTTCTCCACAGTGGCTGCACCAGTCTGCATTCCCACCAGCAGTGCAGGAGGGTTCTCTTTCTCCAAATCCTCGCCAGCACTTGTTGTTTGTTGATTTGTTGATGATAGCCATTCTGACAGGTGTGAGATGGTACCTCATTATTGTTTTGATTTGCATTTCACGGATGATTAGTGACTTTGAGCATGTTTTCATACGTCTCTTGGCCTTCTGTATATTCTTGTTGGAAACGTGTCTATTTAGGTACTTTGGCCATTTTTTGGTTGGATTGTTTATCTTCCTTTTGTTAAGTTGTATGAGCTCCCTGTAAATTTTGGAGATTAAATTTAACTGAGTTAGCATTGGCAAATATGTTCTCCCATGCAGTGGGCTTTCTTGTTGTTTTGTTGATGGTTTCTTTTGCTGTGCAGAAGCTTTTTATTTTGATGTAGTCCCATTTGTTTATTTTCTCCTTAGTTTCCAATGCCCTAGGAGCTGTATCAGTAAAGATATTGCTACGACATATGTCTGATATTTTGCTGCCTAAGGAGTCTCTTAAGATTTTTATGGTTTCCCATGTTATGTTTAAGTCCTTTAAGCATTTTGAGTTTATTTTTGTATGTGGTATAAGTTGGTGATCTAGTTTTATTTTTTTGCATGTTTCTGACCAATTTTCCCAGCAGCATTTATTGAAGAGACTGTCTTGACTCCATTGTATGCTCTTGCCTCCTTTGTCAAATATTAATTGAGCATAATGGCTTGGGTCTATTTCTGGGTTCTCTGTTCTGTTCCATTGGTCTATATATCTGTTCTTGTGCCAGTACCAGGCAGTTTTGAGAACAGTGGCTTTGTAATATAGCTTGATATCTGGTATTGTGATTCCTCCAACTTTGTTCTTCTTTCTCAGGATTACTGTGGCTATTCAGGGTCTTTTTTTTTTTTTTATTCCAGATGAATTTTTGTAGAGTTTGTTCTAGGTCTGTGAAATATGCTGTTGGTATTTTAACGGGAATTGCATTGAATCTATAAATTGTTTTGGGTACTATGGACATTTTAATAATGTTGATTCTACCAATCCATGAACATGGTATATTCTTCCATTTGTTTATGTCTTCTTCTATCTCTTTTTTTCAATGTCCTATAGTTTTCTGAGTACAGGTCTTTTACTTCCTTAGTTAAGTTTATTCCTAGGTATCTTAATTTTTTTGGTGCAATGGTAAGTGGGATTGTTTTTTTTAGTTTCTCTTTCTGTGAGTTCATTATTGGTATATAAAAAAGTCATAGATTTCTGGGTGTTAATGTTATATCCTGCTAAATTGCTGAATTCATTTATTAAGTCTAGTAGTTTTTTGATGGATTCTTTAGGGTTTTCTATGTACAATATCATGTCATCTGTGAATAATGACAGTATTATTTATTCTTTTCCAATTTGGATGCCTTTTATTTCTTCTTCTTGTCTGATTGCTATGGCTAGCACTTTCAGTACTATGTTGAACAGGAGTAGTGAAAGTGGGCGTCCCTGTCTTGTTCCTGTGGGGACATGGTTTTAGTTTTTGCCCATTGAGTATGATGTTGGCTGTAGGTTTGTCATATAAGGTTTTTATTATGTTGAGGTATGATCCCTTTAGTCCCTCTTTGCTGAGAATTTTAATCAAGAAAGGGTGTTAGATTTTTGTCAAATGCTTTTTCTGCATTGATTGATATGATTATGTGATTTTTGTCTCTCAATTTGTTTATGTGATGTATCACATTTATTGATTTGCAGATATTGTACCATCCTTGCATCCCTGGAATAAATTCCACTTGGTCATGGTGTATGATCTTTCTAATGTAATGCTGGATCTGATTTGCTAGAATTTTGTTGAGGATTTTAGCATCTATGTTCATCTAGGATATTGGCCTGTAGTTCTCTTTCTTTGTGCTGTCTTTATCTGGTTTTAGAATTAGGGTAATGGTAGCCTCATAGAAAGAGCTTAGAAGTGTTCCTTCCTCTTGAATTTTTTGGAATAGTCTGAGGAGGGTAGATTTTAGTTCTTTTTTGAATGTTTGGTAGAACTCCCTGTAAAGCTGTCTGGACCAGGGCTTTTGTTTTCTGGAAGATGTTTGATTACTGCTTCAATTTCATCAGTAGTAATCTGCCTATTCAGGTTTTTTGATTCTTCCTGATTGAGTTTTGGAAGCTTGTCTTTTTCTAAGAATATGTTCATTTTGTCGAGGTTGTCCAGTTTGTTGGAGTAGAGTTGTTTGTAGTATTGTAGTGGTGTATGCCTCTTAGTCTTAATTCAGTGAGCACTGGAGTCTCTTTAGCCACCTGTACACAAAAAGGTACCAGCTCTGCTATGAACTACCATGCAAACTGCACCAGAATTAGCCACCTTTTTCAACCTTAACCTTGAATTGTTTACATCTGAAAGGAAGTATCCTTCAACTTCTGTTTTGACTAAATAATTTTTTAAAAACCCCACAACTGTATTTTACTAAGGTTTTCAAACAAGTGGTGATCAAGCATTCAGGACTATCCAAGTTTTATATCTTTTCTTTCACCCCATCTTAAATAAGAAATGGAAGCTCTAGCTGATTTGGCTCAGTGGATAGAGCATCAGCCTGCGGACCGAAGGGTCCCAGGTTCGATTCCAGTCAAGGGCACATGCCTGGGTTGTGGGCTTGATCCCCAGTGTGGGGCATGCAGAAGGCAGCCTATCAATGAGTCTCTCTCATCATTGATGTTTCTATCTCTCCCTTTCCCTTTCTCTCTGAAATCAATAAAAATATATTTTAAATAAATAAATAAATAAATAAATGTTTCTTTATTAAAAAAAAAGAAATGGAAGAATTGCTGAGCTAATTAAAAGAAAACCCCAAAATTTCTGTGTGCCAATATATTCATGTGTTGATTCTAAAAATCATTTACTGACTACATGTAAGGGTAGCTTTAAAGACTACCAGCCCAAACAACACATTGAGACCTTTTGGACATACATATGACATAATATATATATATCATATATATATATGAATATATATAGTAAGGTAAATGAATTCATACTTACACATTGTTTTTCAAACCATAATGGCACTGTAGTCCCTAAAACCTAGAATGGTTTCTTACCCTAGCCATGGCCAGCTGATTGTGGCATTGCCAAATTCTGTCTTCTTTGATGTGTATTGGATAGGGTTCAAAATAGAAACAAAGTTCTATGTTTTTTACAGTCTTTACTTAGTTGTTTTTATGGGTCTCTTTTTTAAAAGATATGATTGATTCTAACAGCATACTAGCAGGCTGGTGGTCATTCATCCTATCTGGGGCAATAGCAGTTTTATAATGTCATTAAAATTGCCAAGGACACGCCTAGTTGTTTCATAAAGTTTCACTCTTTCCTTCGATGACCCTTGGAGAATAGAGTTTCAACATTTCTTATTTGTCCAAAATTTTCTGCCTCGTATAAACCAGGATCATTGGTTTCTTTACTGTGAAATTGTCCAACAAAATACTTGCCTTGACTACCTGAAAAATAAATTTGAAGTATATTTAGGGTCTGAAATTTTAAGTAACCTAGAGAAGTATATATTATACCATTTAAACCAAGCTTTCTCTGCCTTGGCAGGTGTGGCTCAGTTGGTTGAGTGCCATCCCATGCACCGAAAGGTCACCAGTTCGATTCCCGGTCAGGGCACATGCCCAGGTTGTGGGTCCAGTCCCAGTTGGGGTGTGCATGGGAGTCAACCGATATATGTTTCTCTCTCTCAGTTTCTCCCTCTTCCTTCCTCTCTAAAATCAATAAAAACACATTAAAAAATAAATAAACCAAGCTTCTCTGAATTCACTGTAAATCCATCTCCCCCAAATACCTGAACACCAGAATATGATTAAAATGAGAAAAGTGAGGTATTAGATTTTTATCTTGAACCTATAAATTGTTACTCTTTCTTTATAGATTTTTATTGCAGACACATTATACTGTTGGATGTTATGAATTCAGAGTATTACTGTTTATTTTAAACATAACCATAGAAGAGGAAGATAAAGGAACAGATCCATTTTAAAATTGAAACAGTATAGTGCCCACCTCCCTGAATCAGCACTCAGCATCATTTTATATCATTCTTGGCTCAGTTCAAACTTCTCTTGTGTCTATAATGATTTTTTTCTTTGATGTCTCCCGTAGTGCTGCTTAACCATGCCTTTGTAAAACCCATTCTGACCATTTCATTTCAGTTCTTGGAGAAGCTGAATATCTCCTCTTGGGAGAGCCAGGACATGTAGCGCTAAGCAACACCACAGTGTCTGTGGATTTCCAGTATTTTGATGGTGCTAATGGGACCCTGAGGAATGTATCTGTGCTGTTGCTGGAGGCTAACACCAATCAGACTGTGACCACCAAATACCTCCTGACCAACCAGTCCCAGGGGACACTCGAGTTTGAATGCTTCTACTTCAAGGAGGCTGGCGACTACTGGTTCACAATGACTCAGGGAGTGACAGACAGCAGCACTCCAGTACCCTGGTGGGAGAAAAGTGCCTTTCTGAAGGTGGAATGGCCCGTCTTTCAGGTTGATCTGAATAGGACATCCAAAGCAGCAGAAGGCACCTTCCAGGTGGGCCTTTTCACCAGTCAACCACTATGCCTGTTCCCTGTGGACAAGCCTGATATCTTGGTGGATGTCATCTTCACCAACAGTCTTCCTGAGGCAAGAACAAGTCAGGAACAACCACTGGAGAAAAAAACCAGCAAGAGGACAGAACTCTCTCAAGGTCAGTGGGTTGAGTTTGGCTGTGAACCTGTGGGGCCAGAAGCCTATGTCACTGTGGTGCTGAAGTTGTTTGGCCGAGACTCAGTCATTACCTCCATAGGACCGATTGACCTGGCCCAGAAATTTGGATACAAATTGGTGATGGTGCCAGAACTCACATGTGCGTCCCGGGTGGAGGTGATGGTGCTGCCCCCACCATGCATCTTCGTCCAAGGAGTGATTGCTGTCTTCAAGGAGGCCCCCAGACGTCCTGGGGAAAAGACCATTCGCCTGGCTGAAAACAGACTGACTTCGGGACAGAGGAGAACAGTGTTCAATTGCACGTTGTTCGACATGGGGAGGAATAAATACTGCTTTGACTTGGGCATTTCAAGCAGAAGCCAGTTTTCCACAACGGAGAAGGAGTGCATGCTAATTCAGAGAAATATAGGTTGGTATTGAGATTTAAATTTTTGAAAATCAAATGAATGCCTTTATGCCGTCAAAATTACTATTTTGAATTTAGGTGAACTTAATTTTCTGTGAACTATATCGTCATTTTTATGGATCACTCCTCATAATGGCACTAATCAACATTAGCATTATTACATCATATGGCAAGTCCATGACAGGTGTGATCAGAGTTCAAAGCTAAATCCCAAGCTGTATTTAGTAACTTGCTAGCTTGCTCACCTGAGCATGTCTTTTTCCTCTTAAGTCCTTCATTATAAGAATGAAGCCTCTTTAGTGAGCTTTCAAAGCAAGATTTCTAAAAGCTTCAAATTCTGAATTATTTGCATAAGCCCTACCTAATCACAAAGAAGGGCTATTACAATCCCATCCATGCCTCATGCCCCTCTTTACATTTCTTTCCCTTTTCCTGGGTGCAAGCCTGGTCTTGGCAAGAGGGTTAACCTGACAGAGATTGTCTGGTTCACTTACATGTGGCTCTGTCATCATCCCCACGGAGCTGCATGTCCCTTGACAGCCAAACCTCTATCCAATCATCTTTGTAACTCCAAGGTGTGTCTTTCATCCGGGTCCACCCACTTCCTCTCCTTAGAGGAAGCCCCTTTTGACTGTCATCCCACCCACTGGCCACTTCCCTGCTTGCATTTACTCCTCTATGCAGTCCAGATTACGTAGCCCTTCTCATCAATCACTCTCCTACCCACACCCTAAACTCTACCTTGTTGTCCTTCTGATGCCCCTGCTAGCCACAGCCCACCGCTGCATGGATCCAGCCAGCTGCAGGCTACCCATTGCACTGAAGCTGCACAAGATGATAAAAGAAGGCCAGTATGGGGGATCATGCATCCACCCTCAGCTAGGCCCACCAATGTACCCAGCAAGGCACCGTGGTGGGTTCTGCTTCAGTTCTCCACAACTGCTCTTTCGACCTCCTCTCCTCGCTTCCCTCAAACCTCACCTCTGCCCCTAGTTAACTCTCAGAGCTGACTTTGCCTACCATACCAAGCCGCTGGAAGCCTGAGGTGCGAGCTCCCTCACCCTCCCACCAAAATCTCTGTGAGGCTATCAGCCCTATCCTCTCCACATCCTGCTTTCACTGGGGAGAAGTGTCATTCTCCTGTGCAAAGTCAATCCTCCCCTCCACTGTGGAGCCCTGCCTCTCTGCCCATTTCAGGAACCTTTTGTTAATCATTATCCCTTCTCTCTCCTCTGCCTCCAACTGTCCCTTTTTTACTGGTTATTCCCATCAGCTTTGAAATATATTTATCTAAATTTCTAAAGTTTTTAGAAATCTTGCTTTGAAAGTTCACTAAAGGGGTTTCATTCTTATAATGAAAGACTTAAGAGGAAAAAAACATGCTCAGCTGAGCACACCAGCAAGTTACTAAATACAACTTGGGATTTAGCTTTGAACTCTGATCACACCTGTCATGGACTTACCATATCCTCCTATATAATAAAAGCGTAATATGCAAATTGTCCCCTCGACCAGGAGTTCAACAGGAGTTTGATCAGGGGGCAGGGCCCCTCCCCCCAGCTGGCCTGGCCTGATTGGCCCCGATTGGGGTGGGCCGGCCGGACTCCACCTGTGCACGAATTCATGTACCTGGCCTCTAGTGATGTAATAATGCTAATGTTTATTAGTGCCATTATGAGAAGTGATCCAAAATATACTTAACTCTCTTATCTAAAAACAAAACAAAATCACCCCTCATCACCTGGTTCTTTCTCAGAAATCACACTCTTTGTATATATATTGATTTCAGAGAGGTAGGGAGAGAGATAGAAACATCAGTGATGAGAATCATTGATTGACTGCCTCCTGCACACCCTCCACTGGGGACTGAGCCCACAACCCCGGCATGTGCCCTCACCAGGAATTGAATCATGGTCTGTGACCTCCTAGTTCATAGGTTGATGCTCAACTTCTGAGCCACGCTGGCTGGGCAAGAAATCACACTCTTAATCTCTTCTTCCTTTTATAGTCCAGGTTCTTGAAAAAGCCATCCATACTTTGGGGTTCATTTTCTCACCTCACATTCACTTTTCAACCCACTCCAAACCCATCATCCTACCCTAATGCTCTCATTAAAGTAGCCAGTGGATGATTTCTGGGTCCCAAAATCCCTAGATGTTTTTTAGTTTGTATCTTCATTGACCTTGAGTCTGTGATGTTACACTTGCTTTTTACCTCCTGTTTTCTGTCTGTCCTTCATGGTCTCCTTTGCCTGCGGCTTCCACCACCTCATCTCATCCCTTAAGTGTCAGACTTCTACTTCTTGTAGTAGAGTGTCTGCATTTCTTACTCTTCACACATGGTAGGTGGTTACTATCCTGATGCTGGTGACTCCAGATTGTCATCTTTCCCCTACATTCAGGTGTTTGTGAATAGCTGACACCCCTCAGATGTCCCTGAGGCACCTCAAAAGAAACATACCTGGAATTAGACTCATCATCCTACCCCCAACCCTGCTCCTCAGTACAGTACTCCACCATCCATCCCTTGTTCAACGCGAAAACCCAGGAATCCTTCTTTTCACCTTCCTATAAATAATTCACTGTGTCCGGTAGATGTTGCCTCCTCAAAGAACTTCTGAATGTCTGAATCTCTGAGTCTCCCTAGTTTCACTGACACCAGTTGGTTTAAGCCTCCATCATCCCTTATCTGCATTCCTGCAACAGATTTCAAAATGGTTCCCCCCATCCACTTCATTCTCTCACTGTAGCCAGAGGGGTTGTTTAAAATGCAGGTCACTGCATTTCCCTGCTTAAAATCTGTCCGTCACTGGGCTTGACAGGCTCCTCCATGGCCAGACTGCCCACCCTACAGTCACTCTGGGCTGGAGCCTGGGACAACCTCACCCCACCTTAACCTGATTAAAATTAACCCATCCCCCAAGTCTCCAGTTGGGTTACTCCTTCTCAACCCAGACTAGTTAAATTGCCGTGCTATACGCTGGCACACCATTCTTGGGATGTTTCTCATAGCATTATCATTTCTGTTATTGCTTGTTCAAGGTCTTTCTTCCCCTGACGCGCTCCCCCTCCCCCCTCCCAATTAGGGATGCTCATTTGGTGGCAAAAGCCAACCTGTGCTGCTATGAAGCTATTTATGATCTTTATTTGGCTCACTTAGTATGCCTGGCACATTAACAGGTGCTTAATACATGTTTCTTAAAATAAAAATTGAACTCAGATGTGGCTAGTCTCACATTAGTAGGAAAACAATTGTGTTAAACTCATTAAAAATAACTCAGGATATGCTTGCCTTTTCAGAAGTTACTTGTTAAGAGAAAAAAAATTCTAGTTGACTGAATTTAATGGAAACAAACCAAGGGGAGTAAAGACATTTGGGCCATTTGATGAAAGGCATTGGAAGTCTACCTGGTTGGTTCTCCCAGCTGCTGAGTTTCCCCCAGATTCTTCCACTCAGTGTCTAAAGACTGGGTTTTCCCCCACAGCAAGGTGTGTGTATGTGGGTGGGGGGCAGACACTGGGAAGAGGCAGAATAGGAAGTGGTTCTCTTAGCATCCACACTGAGGGTGGTCAGGGGCTCCCCTGTGGGGCAGTAGCCACCAGATACAACTGGAAGCAGTACCTGGAGGGGCTAAATGATCCCGGAGACCCCAACAGTGGCTCTGACTCCAGCTGATCAGTGAAACTTATGCTAGTGATAGGAATCTCTATGTCTTCCTATGTTTTTAGTATAAAAATATATGATTGAATCAAGTTCTCTTATAATAATTTTCCATTTCAATTGATAGCTCTCAACAGTAAAGACTGCCTTTTTTGTTGTTGTTGTTGATCCTAACTCAAGGATATTTTTCTCTTTTTTTAAAATTTATTTTTTAAATTTTTATTGTTGAAAGTATTACATATATCCCCTCCCCTCCCATTAACCCCCTAATTGTCCTGCCCCAGGCTTTCACCACCTAATTGTCCTTGTCCATGGGTTATGCATATGTACATACAAGGTCTTTGGTTGATTACCTCCCACCCACCCACCCTCCCCTGCCTTCCTCTGACATTCCGCATTCTGTTCCATGCTTCCATGTCTCTGGATTCTCTGTTCATCAGTTTATTTTGTTACTTAGATTCCACATATGAGTGAGATCATGTGATACTTGTCTTTCTCTGACTGGCTTATTTCCCTTAGCATAATACTCTCTAGGTCCCTCCATGCTGACTCAGAGGGTAAGAGAATCTTCTTTTTCACTGCTGCATAGTATTCCATGGTACAAGTGTACCACAGCTTTGTTTTCCACTTATCTATTGATGAGCACTTGGGCTGATTCCAGATCTTAGCTATTGTAAGTAGTGCTTCTATGAACATAGGGGATGCATATATTCTTTCTGATTGGTGTTTCAGGTTTCTTAGGATATATTCCTAGAAGTGGGATCACTGGGTCAAATGGCAGTTACATTTTTAATTTTTTAAAAAAATATATTTTATTGATTTTTTACAGAGAGGAAGGGAGAGAGATAGAGAGTTAGAAACATCGATCAGCTGCCTCCTGAACACCTCCCACTGGGGATGTGCCTGCAACCCAGGTACATGCCCTTGACCAGAATCGAACCTGGGACCCCCCAGTCCGCAGGCCGATGCTCTATCCACTGAGCCAAACTGGTTTCAGCAATTTTTAATTTTTTAAGGAAACACCATACTGTTTCCATAGTGGCTGCACCAGTCTGCATTCCCACCAGCAGTGTACCAGGGCTCCCTTTTCTCCATATCCTCGCCAGCACTTGTCATTTGTTGATTTGCCGATAGTAGCTATTCTGACACATGTGAGGTGAAACCTCATTGTCATTTTAATTTGCATCTCTCTGATGATTAGTGATTTTGAGCATTTTTTCATATATCTCTTTTTTATTTTAATTTTTTTAAACATGTATTTTTATTGATTTCAGAGAGGAAGGGAGAAGGAGAGAGAGATAGAAACATCAGTGATGAGAGAATCAATGATCAGCTGCCTCCTG